TATTAAAGCACCGGATATTAAGGTGTAAAGCAGTATTTAAAAGCCTGGGCTTTAGCGTTAAAGAGACTACAGTTCAAATCCCAGCCCCACCACCCACCAGTCAAATGACCTTGGGCAAGTCGCCAGCTTTCTTAATCCATTTTTCCTATCCATAAAACCTAGAGAGTGACACTCTAGAGGGATGTTGTATAATGGTAAAATGATGCAACATCGATACTCCTAGCTTGTAGTTACCACCCAAAATAATTATTATATATTAAATATTATATTATCATATATATTAAATATATTATATATAAAATAATTATTACATGTAATAATTATTCGATAATTGTTATTTTCTGTGTAATGTTTCGTTCTCCTTTTTCTTCAGTTTTGTATGTAACTACAATTTCCATTGCTTTTATAAATGCTTCTCTAGATGGCAAAGTGGAATTTAAATACAGACTCACAATTTACGCTATGCCTGTCAAATATGTGGATCCAGAGCCTAATCCTCACAAAAACCTCATTCTACCTTAAGCGTTTCAGCAATATTCACTATTTTCCAAAATCAAATCTATGGCAGCCATTACTCTCTTGGGGGAACAACCAGGTGGCTGTGTCACCGAACGGTGAATAGTAAGAAGTATCAAACCCATAGCTGAACATCCTCAGTGGGCTGGGAGCACTGCACCTTACTGGCCACCTGTTATCGTGTCCTGATGCTGTTATGCAATAGTTATTTTCTTTGCATTAGGTAGTCTTCTATTAACGTCTCACGGGCATCCTGAGGCCCAACTCCTGCAGGAACAAGATGATCTAGAGTTTTTGTAGACAGACTCGTTAGGCCTGGCCCCTTTGTGAGAAGAGACCGGCAATGTGATTAAAAATACGCAAATCATTAAAACCTACATCTAACAAGGCAGCTCGGTCAAAATTCCATCCAGAATGTTGCCAAAGAGCAGTGTTTTCAACTCAGCAGGCCAGGTTCCAGATCAACTTATCTAACCCCTCAGTGACCATCTCAAGGGTGGGCAAAGATTTCCCTCGCACGTTGGCACAAATGGCCGTCCTGACGTGTTGAACCGAATTATTCCCACATATGACTGGCTTCCCCAGACCACAGCAGGCACTCCAAGCTAGAGCAAGGCTAGTATCAGGCTGGGAAGAACAAATCCATCTGTTTTCTACCCAGTATTAGCCGCGACACAGTTTCCTGTTTGGTGTCGACAGTTAACAGGCACACATCTTGCCTATGAACCACTGAGTTCTCTGTTTACTCCGGAAGACTGACCAAAGACAGGTGGCAGTTATGAAAGACAAACTTCAAGCTCCAAGATCTAGCAAAGACGGAGTACTTACAAACCAACAAAAATCTAAAACATACACACTGAGTCAAGGGCTACAAAGATAAACAGACCAGGGAAGTCGAGAAGCCTAGATGGAAAAACACGTAGGAGTTCTCTTGGTCGACCTTCGTTTGCCCAACTTAGCTGTAGGACACCACACCCTGTGCTTCCTCCCCAACCGTAGTAAAAGATGCCCATGGCGTGCTGAAAACTCCCAGCCTGCAGAGTCATCTCTGGGGCGCCCCTCACAGGTTTGCTACCAAGAGCTGAGTTGTGTGCACCCCCAACACCATTTTGTTCCAAAACCTCATGGGGGGGAGGGGGGTATTGTTAGTGTAATTAGCTAATCTAATTAAATATTAGATAAGCCATGAAAGCAAAAATCAACAGTGTTCTGTCTTTAGAAACTAAATCAAAAGCTTAGGAAAGACTTAGAGGTAAGTCACTACACACTTTGCTGTTGAAATAGGTAAAAGTAAAAAATAGAAACATGGGCAAAATCTAAAATATAGAATGGTGGTTCTCAAATTTTAGTGTGGAGGCCTTGTGAAAACAGATAACTTAGCCCCAGTCCCTTGGTTTCTGAATCAGGAGGTAAGGGGTGAAGCCAGAAATCTGTACACTAAGAAATTCCCGAGTAAAACTTGGGGCACCTGGGTGGTTCAGTCAGTTAAGCATCTGACTTCCACTCAGGTCATGATCTCACAGTTCGTGAGTTCGAGCCCCACGTTGGGCTCTGTGCTGACCGCTTGGAGCCTGGAGCCTGCTTCAGATTCTATGTCTCCCCCTTTCTCTCTCTCTGCCCCTGCCCTGCTCCTGCTCGGTCTCTGTCTCTGTCTCTCTCTCTCAAAAATAAACATGAAAAACATTAAGAAAAAATTCTCATGTTACATAGAGCAGCTGGCCTGGGACCCACACTCTGAGAATCAGTGCCTTTCAATTCTCTAAATTTTAAAATCTACATTAAAGAAAGTGTAAAGTGGAAAGGGTTTGTCGGGAATGTAGATTAATGGGAGACGGGTTCCCCACAGCAAACCTACGATACAGGGAAAGGCCGGGGTCCTAACCAGAAGACAGTCTGTTATGTGTGTGATTTAAGATAAAACAGAATGTTAGTGGGATGTAGGCATCATTTTTTATGACTGACTGTTTTAAATGATTTTTTTCAATTAACGGACAAGCTACGAACATCAAACTCATCAGAAGACATCCGTCAGATATGGGCCATTTAGACACCCCTGGGGTATGACAATCCATTCCCCCCCCCCTTCACTGGAAGAAGAAAATTCTAACTTGATAGCCTCCTTGGTTCCTAAAAACACAAGCTCACAGCATCAATGAGTCCTTTATGAAAATTAACGGAAGGTAACCTCACTGAGGATGGAGTTGGGAGGTCAGCAGGGGTAGCTCCCAGGCCCTGCCCCTCCTCTTCAACTGCAAATCCACAGTAGGAAGAGACCGGACCTGGCAGGCAGCTACCTCACTATTCCAGCCAAAGGAAGGCTTTTTCTGCCCTGGCAACAGTCCAGCCAATGAGAGACAGTCACGACCCGGCCACTGAGAAGCCACTCTACTTGCGACCCCCAGTGTATGGCAGGGGACTTTTGGTTTCTAACAGCCCTCCCGAGTCCCCTTGCCTCTACAGAAGACCCTATCTCCCCTTTGTTCTCCAGACTTGCCAATGGTTTGACGACAGCTGGTAGCTCCCAGACTGCAATTCTCTGCTCTTCCCAAATAAACCCATTTTTTGCCGGTAAAGGACTGGCGGTTGTGTTTTTAAGGTTAACGCCTTTAAAATGAAAGCTTAAGGGTGATGGGTATAGAGGAGGGCACCTTTTGGGATGAGCACTGGGTGTTGTATGGAAACCAATTTGACAATAAATTTCATATATTGAAAAAAAATTTTTAAAAAAACCCATAAAAATAAAATGAAAGGTTAAGTACCACTATCCAATTTACACGAGATGTCCGACGCAGAGAGGGTAAGAAACATCTTTAGAGGTGCAAGTCAGCCTAGGGGCAGCCTCAAGCCTTCAATACGGATCTATCCCCAGATTCAATGTGTTTCACCCCACCCCCCAATTTTACGACATGGCAGTATAATCTCTGCAAGTGTCCAAGGCAGGTTAGAAACAACACTGGAGTCCCAATCACTCTAAATACCTGTAAAACATGAAATGCTCAAACTGACACAGCAGTGTGGACTAGGTGGATTATAAGCACTGCATCTGTTGTCTTGAACAGCATCTAACATCATCTATAATCTGTAGAGGATCATCAAATATAGGGCACTGGAAGGTAGCTGGTCTACCAGCACTGAAGCCAAATTTTTGGCAATACAACTCCACTTAGGCAAGAAATGTGTGGAGAATGGATGCCAGAAAGATTCACAAGCAGATGCAGCAGGACAAGTGAAAATAGAGACAACCAATGTTCAGACACAAAGAAGCACATTAGGTACACAATGAAATAACGCATCTACAGATGTAACATTTAGGGCCTTCTTGGAAACAAGGGCAGAGCCAATCCAGTCATAGTAATCGCTACCTGACGACGCCTTTAAAGCAAGTTATTCATTTTAGAAACTAGAGGAAAACACATCAAAAAAAAAAAAAAGGCAGCTTAGCTCTGTCTTCTAAGGTGGCAATGTGTTCACGTAGTATCATATGAATTCCAGAAGAGGACTAGCAGTAAATCAAGCAGCTAGGAATGATTAGAACAGCTGCTGTTAAAAACAAAACAAAAAATACACAAACAGAAAATAACAAGTGTTGGCAAGGATGTGGAAAAATTGAAAGGCTTGTGCGCTACTTGTAGGAATGTAAATTGGTGCTGTGATTAGGAAAAACAGCACGGAGGTTCCTCAAAAGATTAAAAATAGAATTAGCATATATATCATCAAGCAATCCCACTTCCAGATATACACCCAAAAAAGCTGAAAACAGGATCTCAAAGAGGTAACTTGTACAGCCATGTTCACTACAGCATTATTCGCGATAGCCAAAAGGTGGAGGCAACCTAAATCCCCATCCGTGGATGTGTGGATAAAGAAAATGTGGTATACACATACAATGAAACATTATACAGTCTTAAAAATGAAGGAAATCCTGTCACATGCTACAACATGGATAAACCCTGAGGACATTTGGCTACATGAAACAAGACAGTCACCAAAAACACAGACACTGCATGATTCCACTTATATGAGATACCTAAAGTTGTCAAACTCAAAGAAACGGGAAGTAGATTGGTAGGTGTCAGGGGCTGAGGGGAAGAATTAAAGGGGAGTCATTCTTCAATGGGTACAGAGTTTCAGTTTTGCAAGAAAAATTCTAGAGGTCAGTTGTACAAAAATGTGCATAGAGTTAACACTATAGCACTGCACACTTAAAAACAGTTAATATGAGTTTTAAAAACTAGGAATAAAAATGCCTGGAATACCCCAGTAAAGTGATACATAAAAAAGCACTAGAAATGTTCAAGAGACCTTGCTTAAGAAAACCAGACTCTCACAAGATTAGATGCAGTTTTAATCATTGTAACCTCTTAATAACGCTAATTTCTGTAACACTCTAGACATCTAAGACTTCAGTGTGTTATCTGTGGTGGAAAGAAGGTATGCCACATTGGAATTACTCGGAGGTCGTTAAAAATATTACTTATTCTCACCCAGAGAGATGTTCCCAGTTGAGTGAGCCATCATTACAGATGCAACTGTGCTATATTCTTCAACTGTGCTGGGACTGAAAACAGATTGAGAATTTCATTTTTAAGTGATTGTTTAAATCAACAGTAAGAAAATTCAATTTCATCACTTTTCCCAGAATAAGGAAATTACATGTATTGTTTGATATAATTAAACTGTCTTCGTACCATAAAGCTAAACATCGGTTTTATTTTCTGAAGGCATATGTAATACATTATAATTGTGGCAGCTCTACACGACAATGAACAGTCCTTTTTTTTTTTTTTAATTTTTTTTTTCAACGTTTATTTATTTTTGGGACAGAGAGACACAGAGCATGAACTGGGGAGGGGGAGAGAGACAGGGAGACACAGAATCGGAAGCAGGCTCCAGGCTCTGGGCCATCAGCCCAGAGCCTGACGCGGGGCTCGAACTCACGGACCGCGAGATCGTGACCTGGCTGAAGTCGGACGCTTAACCGAGTGCGCCACCCAGGCGCCCCGACAATGAACAGTCCTTGTGATGAGATTGGCTCTCCAGTGAGCTGAGCACCCATGGAGAACAGAATCAACAATATATGGAAAACGCAGATAGAAATACCTCGCAAGGCTTCTGAAATATTCTGCCCAGAACATTTCTCCAGTCAACAGCACCTTCCTATGTACATTTATCTCCAGGTACATCTTCCCAAGATCTACTCTGCCCTCCAGAGACATTGCTCATCTTTTCTTTTCCGCATTTAGAGGAAGGAAAAGAACTGAATTTTCCATACCCAAGCTTTCAGTGACAAAATAAAGGGGATCTCTCATTTCCATATATTTGCCATTTCATGTCCAGGGAAACAAAGCTACAACTTGAGAACCAAGGGTTAATGCAATCATTTCACACTGAGTTCACCTTGGTGCATCTTCCTTCTACCATGTTTTAAATATCTATGGATATAAAGTACCTGACAGTATTATAAAATTAAGCCCTGTAAGAGGATCCGTGAACCAATATGCTCTATTGGTAACATTTCCTTAAGAACAACATGAATAGGTTATTTGAACTGGAAGCTATACGTTATAATCTCTTTTCTACACAGGTATGCTGGAGCTCCATAAATCTATTTCTCAACTCTTGCTCTTTCCCTTGGTCTGTCTTTCACTCCCCTTTCTGAGTTCTTTTCTTAGCGGCTGCCCTGGAAATTACAAGGAGTATTTTTACCTTAAACATTCTAGTCTTGATTAACATTAACATTAACTTAATTTCAATAAGAATCAAAAACTTTCCTTAGATATACTTCCATTTTCTTCCATTCCTTTCTACTGTTATTGATAAGCAAACTATACTTTTACATGTTATAAGCCTGTCAATACAGGGCTTTTTTTTAATTGTTATTATTGCTTTATGCAGTTGCCTTTTAAAACAGGAGAAAGACATTATGAAGACAAAGGCTTTTGTGAGTATTTTTCTGCATATGTCTCATAACTATGTAGTTACTTTATCATACTCTTTATTTCTTCATGTGGGTTAGTTTACTGTCTAGTCCTATGTAGTTACTGCTTATTCTTTCATTCCAACCTGAAGGACCCTCCTTAATTATCTCTTGCAGGCAAGTCTGCTAACAACAAATTCTCTAGTGTTTTGTTTGATTTGGTATGTTGTTACTTTGTGGTTGTTGTTGGCAGCTGGTTTGGTTTGATAAATGTCTTTTTTTTTTAATGTTTATTTATTTATTTGCTGGGGCGGGGGGGAGGGGGAGAGAAAGTTGCAAGCAGGCTCCAAGAGGCCAGCACAGAGCCCAACAGGGGGGGCTCGAACTCACGAGCCCTGAGATATGACCTGAGCTGAAATTAAGAGTCGAATGCTGAACCGCCTGAGCCACCCAGGCGCCCCTCGTTTGGTAAATGTCTTAATTTCTCCTGAATCTTGGAAGGAGACTTTAGCCAGATACAGAATTCCTAACTGGGAGTCTTTTTTTTTTTTCTTTCAACACTTTGAAAATGTCTTCCAGCCTCCATGGTTTCTCATAAGAAGTCAGCCATTCACCTTACTGAGGATCCTTTTTATGAGATTTTTCTCTTCCTGCTTTCAAGATTTCTCCCCACTTTTGTAAATTTGAACTAGGACGAGTCTCAGTGAAGATCACTTTGGGTTTGGGGTACACGGAGTTTCTTTCATGTGTAGACTAATATTTTTTAGCAAGTTTGGCAAGTTTTCTGCCATCATTTCTTCAAATACTCTGCCTCTTTCGTTCTTCTCCTTCTAGGCCTCCCATTTTGCATACGTTGGGACCCTTGATGGTGGGTGACCCACAGGACTCCTGAAGCTCTGTTCATTTTTATCATCATTCTCCCCCTCACACTGGTTCATCTCTATGGAGCGACCTCTAAGTTGACTAATTCTTTCTTCTGCCAACTCCTATCTGCTATTGAGCAAATCTAGTGAATTGTTCATTGATCGTACTTTTAAACTCCAGAATTTCGGTATGGTTCTTTTTAGGTAATTTCTAGGTTTATGGATATTCCCTTTGGTAAGATACCATTCTCATACTTTCCTTTAATTCTTCAGATGCGGTTTCATTTAGTTCTTTGAACATATTTATAATAGCTCAAAGTCTGTGTCTACGAAGTCCCCTACCTGGGCTCCCATGGGGACATTTTTCTCTTGGCTGGTTTTTGCTTTTTCGTACCCCCCGCCCCCCCCCCCCCCCCCCCCGTGTGTATGGCACACTTTCCCGTTTGTTACGTCTCACTTTTTCATTCAAAACTGGTCATTTTAGATAATATATTTTAACAACTGTGGTACCAGAATCCTCCACACTGCTCCAAGATATTTTATCACTCGTGGTGGTGGTGTCCTTTTCTCGGGTGCTGCTCGTTTGGCACTTTGATGAACTAATTCTGTAGGTTCTACAGTCCCTGTAGTGTGTGGCCACGGAGTTTTCTGCCAGATTTTAAGTTCTTGCTTTCATTTTTAAGCCTGGCTTCCAAAGAGTCACACGTGTATCAGTCTAACTCAGTGGCCAGCCACTGGTTGGTCAGATTTCCCTAAATGCCTCGCCTGGGTGTCTCCACCCTTTGCCAAAGGCATCTCTGTGAGAACTCACACTCTCAGACTTCTGTCTGGGGATAACACGGCCCTAGTTTTCACCTCCTGCTTAGGCAGAGCCTCAAGGTCAGAGGGGAACCTCCGCTTTCCTAGGTCTTTCACAGACACGTGCGCAGCCTTGCACATGGCGCAGCCTTTTGGATGTCCAGGAATATGACGGGAGTTTTTCAGAGTTCCCTACAGTTGGCTAATTCTCCCAGATTTCCTTCTGAATTCCTGGCCAGGTTCTGGTTTGCCTCCACGGAAAGAAAAGCCTTAAGCGGTGGAGACACTGCCAACATTTGCAGTTGCTGCGGCAAAGTCCTAGGGGCTTTCTCTCCCCCCAACCCCCACCCCTCAACCGAGCAGAGCTCTGAGTCAAATCGAATAGCCAGCCACTCTCTGGGAATAGACTTTTCCCAGGGAGCCGCAAGTTTGGACAAAATATGAACCGCGCTCTGGGGAAGGTGCTTTTAATGGGTCTCCAGGAGTGGCCGGATCTCTGCGTCGTGTGCAACGCTGCCTGCTTCTGCTCAGCTGCCAGGCTGGGGAAGGAGGAGAGACGGAAGGAAGCCCGAGTTAAAACGTCACGGACCCCGGTGTCCTCCCAGGTTTCAGGACTCTTCTCTCGGACGGAGGATCTGCGGTGCATTCGCTGGCTGCGGTTAACTGCCAGAATTGTGAAGGAGTTCACTTGGGCTGTTTTTGCTGTCGTGGCAAAACAGTTGTTTTGCTGTTGTTTCGTTTTGCTCTGTCGTAGACAGAGATCAAGTGCACGGAGGGCCTCACTCCGACCAATGTGGAAGCCAATCAACTCTGTGATATTTTAAATCTAGTTTCGCGTAGTTTTTAAGACAAAAAAGCATTTTAAGCAAAACAAATTGTTTAAAAAATTATACCTTTTTAGGTCACCAATTCTTTATCTGGTGGAAACTTAAGGAAAAAAAAATCTATATTACAACAAATAGAAGAGAAACTGATCTGAGAGGGATTAAACTGCACAGACAATATCTCGCCGTACTGAATCTTTCCTGTTTAGTAACACATGCCAGGACTGAAAATAAAGATGGTCCCTGGTCTTATCCTCTCTTGGCCCCAAAGGCCTCCCAGGTCCTTTTTGGAGAACAGGAACAAGTTCACGTGAGGAAGAAAAAGGCTACTCCGTCGGCTCCTACTTGGCCGACCCAGGCCAATTCCAATTCAGTTCCGACAGGGATAAAAAGAGCCACAGAGAGTGGGAGCAGGAAACGCAGCAGAGAAGAGAAACCAGGGACCTGCACACAGGAAGGGACCTTATCTCCTGAGGTTTCTCTGGAGAACCTCCGCACAGAAAACTCACGCTTACCTCAGAATCACCCAAGTATCAGCCAGACCCATGTAGTCAGGACACAGCAAGACGAGCTTCTTGAAAGGAAGAGGGATTCATTCCTGTTATCTCCCTTTAACACGGCCTGATAATGGCAAGCCAGGGAAAGTCCAAAACCATCAAAACAGGCCCCCAAAAAGTAAACACGCTTTAGCAAAAACTTTTATTTTCAAAACCATTCTTTTCCTATTTTTCCTTAGCTCTTCTTTAAGATTTTATTTCTAAGTAACCTCTACACTCAGCGTGGGGCTCAAACTTGCAACCCCCAGATCAAGAGTCATAGATGCCCCACCCACTGAGTCAGCTGCTCCTTCTTTTGTCCTTCTTACTGCTGTTTAATCAACTACCCCAAAACCTACCGCTCAAAACAAACAAACCAACAAAAAAGACATTTTATTTGCTCCTAATTCTGCAATCTGGGTTGGGCTCGGCGAGGCAGCTCTCCAGCTAATCGTGCCGGGGATCCCTTGCACGGCCATCCCTTGCACGACTGCTTTCCACCGACGGGTGGGAACAGGGCTCGGCCGGAATACCAGCACGACTAGACTTCTCTCTCCATGTCGTCTCAGGGCCTCTCTCCCCCCACGTGGCCTCTTTTGCACACAGTCTCTCCAGGAAGG